GGTCAATACTAAATGAAGTGAAGCCGGACTTCTCACTGGAGGCATTAATAATGAAGCTAAAGCTCAAATATTTCGGTCACATAATGCGAAGACAGGACTCGCTAGAAAAGACCCTGATGCTTGGAAAAATCGAAGGCAATCGAAAAAGAGGTTGACAGAAGATAAGGTGACTTGACACCATAACTGATGTCATGGAAACAAACTTACAAGAACTGAAGGAAATGGTCACTGACAGGCAAGCCTGGCGTAATAACGCCTATCAGGTCACGAAGAGTCGGACACGACTAAAAGACTGAACAACAACAATGATGTGTTTATATAGCTTGTTTTAAAATTAGATTTCAATGGGTAGAAGAAGGATCTCTTACAAAAAGAAGAGTCAGATATTAGTTATTAGACGAAATCGTACAAGCACGCTAGTGAAAACGAGAAGTAGCTCGTCATCATCAAATACAAATGATGAATCGATGGTGTCTATTCCAAAGTAAATCAGTACCAAAAAAACTAAACACTGAAGACACTTTGAATTCTAAAGTGATTACATATATGAACTCTTTACTCACTTTACTGAAACAATTTCCATGTCCTGGTTGTCACATGCTATGGGACGGATCAGTAACTATCAAAGAGAGAAATGGATTGTACGTTCAGCTTGAATTCACTTGTGATAATTCCAAATCGTCTACTCGTCTGTATTAATCACCAAGTATGCCCACTGGTAGACGCCATGAAATTAATGTTCGATTAGCCATTGGTAGTACTCTCTGTGGGTTAGAACGTAGTAAAGTAATGAAACTATTAGGTGCTTTAAATCTACCTCCACCAGTTCAAGAAAACAAATTTCAGGAAGTGCAAGAGTATGTTTTGAATTTCGTTGAAAACACGCAAGAACAATCAATGACAGCCGCTGTTGACGAAGCAGTCTAGAAGCTGATAGTGCACGAGATCCGACAGTCAGCGGTGATGGTGCTTGGCTAACCCGTGGACATTCTAGTCTTCATGGAATCGCTACGCTACGCTCATCGACTACTAATCCAAAGATTTTAGATGCTACTTGGTGTTCTAAGTAATGTTGTAAATGTCAAGGCGCAGAAAGTCTACGACACGCCAATGCTGATCTATATAGTACATTTCAGTCAAATCATGAATGTCAGCTAAATTTTACAGGTAGCTCTTATAAGACCTAACTAATCTTTTTAAAGCTCTCTGTAATTCAGGAGCATCTGGAACTATGGAGAAGGAAATGGTGTATGAAATGTTTTGTCGATCTTTATCAAAGTATAATGTTCGATATATTTCATATATTGGAGATGGTGATGCCAAAGTACACAGTTACCTAACAAGTCATCCTCCATATCCTGGTGTGATAATAAAAAAACTTGAAGGTTCAAATCATTTCGCAAAGCGAATGCTGCATCGAATAAAAAAAATAAAGCAAGAAAATAAGTGTAAAATCTTATCAGATGGTAAAAGATTCAATGGCAAAGGACGTATGACTGATGCTCACGCAATCAAGTTTTAAATTTATTTTGCTAAAGCTATACGTGAATGTAAAACCGACTTGGATCAGTTTTATAAAAGATCTTGGGCTATCTTCAAACATCATTACTCTACGTACAACGAACCAATGCACGATTGGTGCAATGCACAGTGGTGCAAATATCTTCAAGCAAAACTAAATGGTCGAATGTATTATCATAATTCGAAATCAAATATTCCAAGAGCATGCTTAGATATGATCAAGCCTGTATTCAATGAACTATTTTCTAAAACTAGTTTAGCACAATATTGTAGGTGATGGTTCCCAAAATGCGAACGAAGCTTTTCATTCACTGCTGTGGACGACGGCTCCTAAGCAGCGATTTTGCTCATCGACCATTCTTCGAGCTGCATTGGCGTTATCAACGATTATTTATAATGATGGTTATGATTCATTAGAAAAGTTATTTGCAGACGTATTCTCATCGGTGGGTTATTTCTCTGCTGAATGTTTCAGTCGACTCGGTACGATGAGAAAATCTTCTGCTTTGAAACTTGCTAAACGACGTTCAAGAACGAAAAGAACAAATGTAGCAGCCACAACAACTACTGCTGACATTTCCGGTAGTGAAAGTGATGATGGAATGTTATTGATTCCTAACAACAAAGATTCTCTTGACATTACTCAAGATATAATGACACTGGCATTATCAGATAATGATACAAACAGTGACTGTGAACCTGGTGATGATGAATAACTCTTTATACTTGTCATCATTTATCTCTAGTTTTATGTAAACCAGTAAATAAATCTATTCAAGATATTATCATACTGAACAGTAATATTGACATAAATTTCAGATAATGTAATTTGTATCAAAGCACAAGCAATAGTCGCTTGACCATGTTCATAACAAGATCGAAAAACAAAAAATGTTTTTTTTAACACCTCTAACTATCGATTGAGTTCCTCAGAGCCTTAATGATTCATAGTAAATCTATGAAAAAGTTATTGCATCGCATATTATCGCAGAAAAATTGTCAAATTTCACTTCGCAAACTTATTTCGCATTTTTCTCACGATCGAATTTTTGCTCATAACGATTTCGCGTTTCCCAAATTTTTTGACTATTTTAAACGTTATAGAGCTCGGGATGGTTTCAAAATGACCAGAAAACGTAGCTCTACAATTCAACAGAGCCGAAATCGCAAATATTGTTTATATTTTCTCGTGAGTGTCGAATATATAATGCTCCATGACACAAAATATTGTATCGTGTAACATACAAGCGAAGAAAACATTTTCGCGAAAAAAAAACAAAAATCACGCTCTGTTGAATTGTAGTCCTATGTCTTACGTATCTTTTAAAACAAACCCGAGCTCTCTAGCACTTCAGATAGCTGCGAAATTTGGGAAACGCCAACCCCACCATTTTGACCGGTAAATCGAAAATAAATCTTGACTGGGTTCATATTTTTCGATCAAATTTTTACTGCAATCTAGT